CGGAGCTCCCGGGATCTGATCGACCCTGGCATTGTATATTTCCACTCTCTTGTCGTTGGCTTCGACTCGTTTTGTGAGTTCCTCGAGCAATTTAGTAATTTCAGGAGTGGTCCCCGATTCTTGCTCGTTTGATTTCACTATGGCAGGCTCCGTTCTGGGGGTGATTTCTCGAAGCGGATTGAAATCTGGCCTGCTTTATATATGAGTTTGGCTCTGCAACTGAGCTATCGCTACTTGTTGGGCTTGTAACATCTCGAAGATCATGCGCAAGCTGACTCCGATTTCTCCCACGTTATGGGTGTCTCGAGCTACGGATCGAGTATCACCTTGAATGCTTTTTTCCGGTTCAGAACGTTAGTTCGCCTCAAGAGCCACTTGCGAATTGACATCTAACGGTACTTCGGCTCGAATTTCGGGTACTTCGATTCGAGCCTCAGTGCCATCGTCAAGTGGCCTTCCGGCCCCGGGTACCTAGTTGTTGGTTTCATCTTGAAGGCCGGCTTCGTGGTCGATAGGTAAAGCCATTGCTGATTCGAAGTTGTAAACGGGTGTATACTGCATATTTATATCAAACAATCACTGTTATCCTTAGCCCCACGGTGGGCGCCAAACTGTTTACCCGAAAAATCAGATAACGTTAAATTTGTGTATGGTTCTAAGGATATGTGATACAAATTGTATAGAGAAATAGAAATATGTGTATTCTTGACTATGAGAATGGGAATAGTGAGCGAAAGAATGAATAAGGTAAAATAAAAAAAGCATGAGGAGATATCTTCCAATATGAGAAGTGATCTTTTGTTACAGTCTATTCTCTGTGTTCGTATGCTTACAAGGATTCCCCCTTTTATAATAGAGGGATCCTACTTTATTTACAATAAAATAAAGCATATAGTGGAGGACCCATGATGAATTATCTCTTCCTCGATTCCCGCCAAGATTCTCTCTCTTAGTGCGGTTGTAACGGCTTTTGTCTGTGAGCTCGACACCGGCGAACTCGTTATTGGGTTGAGCCCTCGGTTTTGGCTTGAGTTCGACCTCCGGGGTAGGCGTAACGCATTTCTGATCTCGAAGCAATGCCTTGCGGATCGATTTGGTCACGGGCTCGATAAAAGTATCGAGCCGATTTCTCGATCAGCCTCCGGACTCGAGGCACGTTTGTACTGCCTTCGGAACTCATCCCAAAATTCCACTCCGGTTGCTTACCATTCGAACTCGATCGAACGTAGGAAGACCGAAATCTATTTTGACCGTATACATTGTTCAAACTGAAGGAAAACGACATTGCTTGATGATATTTTTTTGATATTTATATGTCAAAATAATATTATACTTGAATATTTTAAAATTCATTTATATTCCTCCTTACTTAAGTTTAAAATGTAAAGTTGGCTTTAACATTGGAAAAACAATTATATAAATGAATCACAATTATTTTTATAGTTCATCTACGTTACCCTTGCCTGTACATCATTGTTTCAAGACCCTTCCATAGATCCCATAACAACAAGCTCATTTATCATAGCTAAACAAATCTGACGTCACACCATTTCTGGAGGTGACACTTATATAACTACTCGACACATTATGTTGCAAAGTCATGATAATTTGCAACCTCTCTCACGGGCCATAAAAGATAATGGATGTTGCACTGACAATACTTAGTTTGGAAAGAAGACATTGAGGTGATTAGCATCCTCAAAATGATAGTCATCTAATAAATGGTAAAAGAGGGTCTCCATCAAACATGATTTATGGTTTTAGAGTAAGTTAAGACACAATTACTGCTTGCCAAATATATCAATCTTGCGCATTACGGCATTAGTAAAAAATGATGGTATGAGGTAAGGAGAGAGAACACTCAAGCGCCATTATGATATGTGAATTGCTTATATTGAGGTTCTCAAAGACCATTCTAACCCAAGAAGGATGTGTTGTTGTTTCATTGTATGTTGGAATAATAGAAGTTCACCGTTTTCTTTCTATAAGTGATAATTTTGGTAGCAAGAATGAGCATGAATTAAGTGAAGAAAATAGTTTGAGGGTAGGAGAAAAGAAAATGAAGTCTAGCGTTACTTATGTGGATGGATAAAAAACTGAAGAGTCATCTGTTAATTACTCATAGCCTTTCTGAGATTCCTGGTTCTTGTCGTCCTCTCGATAAAATTGTTTCCACCTTCCATATTTGTTTAATTTTGATTTTTAGAGCTTTGTAGGTGGCTTAGACTACTGTTGTACTAACAGATACTATATGGTGCAGAGATATAAAGATCTATTTGATTGACTATCCAAACAACTTGCTATGAATGACAAGAATTACGCGATGTAGTTCATCAGAACTTGTTGACTCTAATATGATCATATATATTGATAGCTAATGCACTAATCTTTTAACGTTTGACATTTATTCTCTGGCATCTCTGCCTTATTTATTAACGGACATAATTGTCCATAGCATGTGCGACAATAATATCATTCTCTATTTAGAAAAAGGTAGCAGAAGTTTGAAAGCAGTTGAAGCATGGTTTGAAGAATCCTGAGATTTTGTAGATTGGAGGTGATATATGAGCTTTAAATAGTTCTTGAGCTACTTTTTAACATAAAATTGTTATAAGTATTGGGCATTTAATGTTTGAGTAGCTATACCAAGTGTACTACTTAATCAATTTCAAGAAAAGGCAAAATAAGATGAATACCAGAGACCTAAGAAGTGTGATGACAATTTCGATACAAAGTAGGAGTCAGTTATTGTGTAATTCATTTCTTAAGGAAAAGAAACAGGAAAGTGTTTTTTTTTTTTTGAAATCTGATGCTTTTTGCTTCTTATCATTTTCATCTGAAGGCGTAGCATGTCTTGAATATCTATTTAGAAGCCTAGCTTTCATTTCAAACTAAAGAATGTGAAAAATAAATTGATGTAAGACGTACACGATGATCTTGCCACATTTAATATCTTCTGCTTTTTGTGTATTAATTTGAAAGAGATGCAGATTGAGATAACAAATGAGCTTTTAATTCGTGAAATGTTTCTTGAAGCTTCTCTGTTTGTGTTCCAATTACAATATAATCCCTAATCGAGCTGTCTTTAGTTTTACATTTGTTTTGTCTAATCTTTATAATTAAAAGTTGCATATGAGAAGGCACCTTACTGCTACTATCCCAGGAAAGCATCATCCCCTCCTCTTTTTGTTAGTTTCACAAACTTTATTTCATATTCTCCATTTTCCAATTCTAAATTTTTGACTACCCTGTTGTCTCCCTTAAGTAAAAAGGGGAGGGCAATTGGGATTGGTAGGTTACTTATCTCCAAAGTTCATTTTTCTTAAGTCGGGTATTTGCCCAGAAGTCAAGTTGATATGTCTTATCATAGCTACTTGATGGTTGAGAGGATAGAAATATAATATACCTGTCCAGTATGACGAGTTTGTATTATTGGGTCATTATTGGATGTATTTAACTATTCATTTTGAAGGGAAATATTTGTGCTATGTTTTATATTCCAGCTGATTATGTGCAGTCGAGTCTAATGGCTTTTGATGAAGCATCATTTTTAATTCACTAGATTTATTGTAAATGTTGTAGATAGTTTTTCGTTTGAATTTTTTTGTTATTTTATGAGTAACTGGTTATATTAAGGTTTATGCCACCTTTTAGGACCTTGTAAATGATCTTTCCTCTATCTTTTACAACACATAATGTATTGTACTTATGGTGTTTACTTACCTTCTGAAGGTACTGCAAAACTTCTCCCACTCTGCTGCTTTGGAATAGCAAAGCTCACTACCAAACTGGGGACTAAGCTGAATAGCTGATACTCATGATAAATGAATTAAGGCATGCATGTAAACATGCCTTGAAGATGCAAACATTTCCTATATTTTATGGGTATTAGCACGAGAGATATACAATGTATTAATGTCATCTTTTATGCTTATTGAATGACCTATATTATGCACATAGAACTATTTTAGTTTGGTTATCTTCTTTTATGTCAATTTGGATCAGTTTTTAATATCATGATATTGTAATGCACTTAACGCTGAAATAATGAAGATCTATGTTATTCAAAGGCTTACTTCTTTCCTTGATTCTAATTTATTGTTGTTTGCACTTGGGAATGTCCAAACAATGACTTTACAATTTACTATAACTAATTCCACGGTGAATGTGAATGACCATAATATTGGGCCCGTGCTTTAGCACAGACTTTCTCTACTAGTTTCTATTATATATAAACTAGTATACGTACTCGCGCGATGGGCAGATCGTTTCAAAAGAAAAAAGAACGAAGAGATAATAAAAATAGATGTATATGAATCATATGTGACATATTGCAGATTTTATATTCTTATTATGATATTCTTACAGACTAACATTTTCTATGGTATACGTAATTGCTACTGTTTCGTTAGGAATCCTTTCTTCAAATAAATACAGTATTTAATACTCTAGGGACTAATATCACAATAAGAGGACGCATCACAAACTTGATGATTCTTGTGGACATACTCCAAAATTGAGGGAACCTCTAGAAAGCAATATTGTTTATTGCCTTGCTTTCAAAAAGATTTGTGAAAGTAAATAATATTCCCATCTTATAGCTGCAAAGCCGTAATAATGCAAAAATAAATTCTAAAAGGTCCAGCATAAGAAATAAAAAAACAAATATGGACAATATATTTACATATCACATTTGATTCAAATCTTATTTCCTGCGAATAACAAAATCGAAAAAAATCACACATCATTTGTTTTGAGTTAAAAACCTGGCATGCCATAACGTTTCTTTTGTTTTTGGCTTTTGACTACTCTGACAAGCTTGAATTAAACTACTAAAAACTAAAACCATCTTTTTATGAATATCTCTTTCAGTTTCTTAACAACAACAATTAGTTGCATGCACCTTAAATAACATGGCATAAGTAGAAACGAATAAAAATAGCACAAATAAAAATAATGATAGATACTAAGAAATACTTTTAGATTTTCTTGTTGCGTAATTATCACATCAAAGAAAAAGAGCTGGTGAAACCTATAAATGTTCAGCAATTCTCAACCTAGTTACATTGTCTATGTATTTTCACCTGAGAAACTTAGTTACTCCTACATGTTGGGATCAATCTTGCTGAAAACATCTCCACTAAGAAGAGGATTCAACTCATCAATTTGTTCAAGACAATGTCTTCATCTACACTGAAATACTGTGCATAAAAAAAGGGCATCCCTGCATAAAAGAAATTCCTTTGACATTAAATAATCTATTTCAGGTGTTTATGGATTGCTTTCCGTTTGCCTCTGCATAAGGTAGGTAGTTAAAATTTACCACTTAACAAAAGGCCAGTAGAACAGTAACTGAAGAGAGAAAAGCCATTAGGGGCACTCATTTCTTGACCCGGAAAACTGATTCATAAGGAAGGGGATCTACACCAGGTAAGGAGTTTATGACCAGTCCCCATATAGATACTTTAATTCACATTGTTTTGGGCAGTACCCTTCTTACTGAAAAAGATTTTGAGAGTCATATAACTAAAGGAAAGCATATAGCTACAATTGAGATGTGGAGCAATAGAACATTGTGAAATGGTGTCGACAAACCACCCTCATCACAACAATAACTTAAGGCTTGAGTAAGAATGTGAAACTGCAAATCTGAATGTTGCGCATAAATTTATCCATATACTATCGAGCGCCTATTAACTCTTTCTGATGATTATATGTTATTATGTCGTCTTTGTCACTATTCAATGGTTAGTAATATATGTCATATTTAGGGCCAAAGTAGCTTCAGTGGGTACTAAAAGAATCAATATTATCCCCTTAAGAGATGAAAATTTTCTGAATTGGATAAAACAACTGAGACGACATGTCTTCCAAAGAAGCACTTCTCTTTAAGTGTAAATTTGAGCAAATAACGTGTATATTTTAGTTATAATAACAAAGTGTACTTTAAGGATAATATGATAATAAGTATATAAAGAGATCTAAAATAAAGAATAGAAGAAAAAACGAAACTTGAAAAATGAAGCAATAGCAGTATTATTTTACACTTACAAGTTTCCAATTCTTTACTCCAAATCACTTGCTTCATCCAACAATTTAACATTGTTGTGGTCCTAGTCTCCTAGACCTTTGTAATTTGTAGTATTCTATTGAATGAAGTATCTAATAATTTAATGATTCAATGAAGTGAAACAAACGCCTCGGACTTAATAATTCATGAACAAGAATGGATGACAAAATTATTTTTAAATTTATATCTTAAAAATATTCAATGGTTAATCTTTACTTCATATTTTTTTCAAAGTTATCTAACAATGAATTTACTGGTTGATCTTTAATATATAATCAACCTTATATCTCTTCAGTTGTTGGCTAATCATATGTTGTTCATTGTTGAAGTATGGACTCAATGTACGAATTAAAAGAAAATGGATAAAATATTTACCAAGGCATATTAATTTTCTTTCAATTGATTAGGCTTCAACCGATCTTTGTACGCAATAGGCCTGCATTAAGCATATAGAATTTCAAAAATTAGCCACAACACTGCAACAAAGAGTGATGTATTCTAATTCGCAGGAACAAATCTTGAATAAAGTAACGTACTAAGGCAAGTATAAGCGGAAAAGGTCCAAATATGCCCTTATACTATACGAAATTGAGCACATTTGCCCTTCGTTAATACTTTAGCTCAAATATACCCTTACCGTCATATAGTTGGCCCATATATGCCCTTAGAGTTACACAGTTGGCCCATATATGCCCTTTTCGAAACGGAATCCACCCAAACTAATTAGCTTTTTCGTTAATTGTATTAAAGTATATTACAAACACTATTTCCTTTTTATTAGTACTTTTTTTTCTTTACCTTTCTCTATTCTTTCTTCTTTTTTCTTTTCTTCTCTTTTTTTTTCTTTTTTCTTTCTCCCTTATCCGATTTCCTCCATTACTAATGTCTTCTCCATTATCATCACCAATTTTACTTGACAAAACTCATAAATTCTAATTACTAAGAAAATTCTCCCATAAAATTATTTTTATAGATCATATGTTTTTCAATTTTTTAATTTTTACTGAACATATATTTAGTTCTAAAAAATTTAACAAAGTAAGATTGAAATAATATTTATGTAACCAAAAATTCGAAAATCCAACAAAACCGAACAATCCAAACCGATATAATTGGTTTGGTTTGATTTTGATAAAAAATCAAAATCAAACCAACCCGTTCCATGTACACCCCAAATCTACATAGTTAATAAAAAAAATAAAAAGTGTCCAGCTGAAAAAAAGACTAACAACTCAAATTTATAACACTACAACTTGAACTCTAGGCTTTTAATCATTAAATTATCTTTCTGAAAATAATTTAAATATTTTAGTTTTTTGAGTATTGTTAAAGGTTGAGATATTTTTATTATTTTAAAGTTTAAACCATAATTTTTGGAATAATTTAATTTCATTTATTTAGAGGGCCAGTGAAATTGGAACTTGATTACCTTATGGGAGAATTTTCTTAGTAATTGGAAATCATGAGTTTTGTCAAGTGAAATTGGTGACGAAAATAGAGAAGACATTAGTAATGGAGAAAACGGATAAGGGAGAAAGAAAAAGGGAAAAAAAAGAAGAAAAGAAAAAAGAAGAAAGAAAAGAGAAAGGTAAAGAAAAAAAAATACTAATAAAAAAGAAATAGTATTTGTAATACACTTTAATACAATTAAAGAAAGAGCTAATTAGTTTGGGTGAATTTCATTTCGAAAAGGACATATATGGGCCAACTGTGTGACTCTAAGGTCATATATGGACCAACTATGTGACGGTAAGGACATATTTGAGCTAAAGTATTAACGAAGGGCAAATGTGCTCAATTTCGTATAGTATAAGGGCATATTTGGACCTTTGCCCGTAATTTATATGAAGAGGTAAGAGGAGATGAAGAGGAAGATATTATTTTTTGGTAACGGATAGGAAAATAATTGCAAACACCTATGGTTCGGCTTCATCCCTCTTGCCTTACCTTCAAGAGGATGAGATCCAACAATATCGCTCTTAACACCCTGAAGCCCAAAGTGAAACGCATTGTTCCTCACTCTCTCGATTTCGTGTTGATAACCTTTGAGTTTGGTGACCAACATATTCAAAACTCGTAGCGTCGATATTTTGAATTCGCTATAATCGTTAGCCTCAGTAATTCCCACAAGTAGCTCAAAAGATGATATAAATCAAGAGAACATTCAGAAAGTAAAAAAAAAAAAAAAAAAAAAAAAAAATTCCCGAAGCTGAACTATAATATGATCAGAATGCCATAAAAGATCACATGAAGCTCCAAGAGAATGCTATGTCAATAGGGTCAAATAACTTTGTGCTCCTTGAAAAAGAAACAGAGATTTTAAGAATAAGTTTTTGTAAGCAATTTAGTATAAAATTAATAGTAATTAAAAAGCACGTTTGTATAAATCCACTTTATTAAATGTAGTTCCGGATGCTTGAGCTCTAAGATACTAAAATCAAACCTGCAAAAGTCTTCAATTAAAAAGCGCTAGTAATCTGCCAAAGTATCATTAACAAAAAAAGGAAAAAGGCAACTACCTTTAGTTTACTTCTTCATGGAAAAGCATCCGTTATGGCAGCGTCAAAGTCCATTTCTCTATTTTTTTTAGTTTATACTCTATGTCAAAGAAGAACCAAATTTGAAATATTAGAGTTTAGCTTGGCCTAATTGCTGATTAATTTTTGTCATATTACAAAAAAATAAGAGAAAAGCTAGACGTGTCAAAGAAATGAATTATTACTTGCAATAATCATAGTGAACTGCACTATGAGTCGAAATACAATTTTAAAGCAATGATTGTTCTTCAAGATCAGTTTTAAGATATGCATTCGCGAGAAGAACTCTATTTAAAACATGTTTTACATTATGTACTTATTCAAATATCATTCGGTGAATGATTCAGGCATATCATCAAACATCTTGGGTGCATAGTCCACTTTAATGATTATCATTAAGACTACTCAATAAACACACGATTAAAAGAAGGAGGGAGAGAAAGTAGAGAACTTAACTGAAAAAATAGGTGCATCTTCGTTCATCTTCCGCTTTCTCTTCTGAATAGAAGAGATTGTCACACAAGCAGTTGTGCAGATCATCCATCCTCATCTTTCCTTGTTCGTCTCTTCCTTTTTGGAACTGGATCTACTGATAAAGTTATTCTTACAGGAACAAATAACAATAGAAAACACAAATTACGAGACCTAATCTTATAGCATCAATTTTGATACCTTGCAATTAGGTACGATCACTCAAGAAATTATTCAAAACAATCGAAAACTAACACCCGAGAAATTACCAACAGAAGAAGTTCAAGTTTTGCATATCATCAAACATCTTGGATGCATAGTCCACTTCAATGGGAATTTAGAAATTACAAACAGAAAAAGTTCAAGTTTTGCATGTAAAGCAGACTACTTTGAGAATTTAGAGAGGAAATGAAGTGCTCCACAAATAGGAAATTTCATTATACTTTGAAATCCTAATAGAAAGATATGTTGGTAGAATGGTTAGAATTATATAAAAAGTTCTGAAAATGTTACAACTGCAAAAATAACTGCACAACCGATACAAAATGGATCGATGTTTCCGATATTGAGTCCACGTTCCCAGAGATTCTCCCTTAAACTTCCTGACGGTTCCACCGGCTTTGTACAGTTTCTGTTTACCACATCTCCGCCACAATGCACAAGAAAGGTTGTATGTATATATTATTAATTAAATCAAATATTTAATTTAATTATTTTAAATAAAATGTGCTCTATGAAGACCAATAATTAAATATTATTTTTTAGTTTTATTATTGCGTAAAAAGTACAACTACTTACCAAAAAATGTGATTTTATTTTGCAAGGGTCAGGACATCACTACTTGCAAACTGTTAAATTTTAAACATTAACTAATGTAACTAATTATTACTCCTAATAACTACTTTTTGTCCTAAATCTAGCACTGTGTCATTTTTTTATTCCGTCACTTGTCACAATTCTATGCCAAACTTCCTTCCTTTTAATAATAATAAAATAAAATAAAATAATAAAATAAAATATTTAATTTAATTATTTTAAATAAAATATACTCTATGAAGACCAATAATTAAATATTAATTTTTCAATTTTATTATTGTACAAACTGTTAAATTTTAAACATTAACTAATGTAACTAATTATTACTCCTAATAATTACTTTTTGTCCTAAATCTAACACGTGTCACTTTCTTATTCCGTCACTTGTCACAATTCTATACCAAACTTCCTTCCTTTTAATAATAATAAAATAAAATAAAATAATATAGAAGATATACAGATGTTCAAGGTGTACGAACACAGCTAATATAAGTTGTACAAAAAGTTATTTAAATTGTACCATAAATTTGGCTCTATTTCATTGGTTATTGAATCTTCTTGTCGGTCTTCTGTTGAACACGTGTATAAGAGTTCTTTTTTCCAGCCCATAATTTCTCAATCACTTTTCTCTTTATAGTGACACGTGGTTCTACATTTTTGTTTGCGTGGAACAACTGGATTCCACCTTCTCTACTCCACTATTTTCACCTTCCAATATACCCATTTGGTCAATTTTCCTTCCTCATTCTATTTTTCACTTCTCTTTTTCCGTATGCTCATTTTCTTTCTCTTTTTACTCATTTTCTCATGCATTTTGTTTCATTTGCTCCTTTTCTGCTCTTGCTTCTGGTTTTCACGTTCAAAAATTTCAATTTTTTTTCTCTTCTGATTCTTTTTAGAAACTTTTAATTTGTTTCGACTTTTGCTCTGGCGATGTTGAGCTTCTGAGTAACAGGTAAGTTTTTCTGCTTTGGGATATTTTGTCTTCACTTCCAATTCCATAGACGATTGCGTTACTGCTAATTTTAGAAGGTATAGAATTTTTGATGGCTATTCTAGAATTACTTGAGCCTTTAGCTATTTTCTTAATTGAGTCTACTCATGCATGTTCTATTCTGAATATTCTCATTCAGCAATGGGTAATATTCTATGGATTATTTTGTCCTTCTCTTTCATTCTCTATCACCTCCGCTTGCCCCTATTAAAAAAAATCAAATTTACTAAAGGTTTATATAGAATTTTTTCGGTCTTTGGATTTTTTTTCTTTTAACTAATTTTGCACATGCATATCCTCGTACACTATTTTTTGTTAATTCATAGTTGTCAGTGGAATTTAAGAAGTACTCGACGAGAAAGAAATGCTCTGTGAACAAAATTCCCAAAGTTCAGTAATGCATTTATGTCCTGTCAATTATTTTGGTTGCCTTTCAGCTTACTTATGATCTATATTGAAGTTGGCAAAACGAGTTTTACTTTAGCTAGGCATTGTGTTCTAATTCTAAAGATTCAACTTTTAGAAACAGAAATCAATAGGCTTGCAGCAGGGGCAACGAGGCTAATGGAAGTCAAGGCGAGCAAGGTGAAGAGTACATCATTCGATGCTTGTATACGGTCGAAACTGATTTTATCGGACCCTAAAAATTCGAGGGCCCTACGAACCAAAGCTGCTCGATTCACACCTACTGTAGATGGAACATTATACCGAAGGACATTCGATGGACCGTTAGCAGTTTGCTTAGGTCCAGGAGATACCGACTACATCCTACGTGAGATTCACGAGGGTACTTGTGGAAATCATTCCGGTGCCGATTCGTTGGTCCGAAAAATAATCAGAGCAGAATATTATTGGGTCGGCATGGACAAAGATGCAAAGGAGTTTGTTCGAAAATGTGACAAATGTCAAAGGTTTGCATCGATGATCCATCAGCCCGGAGAGCAACTTCACTCAGTCCTTTCCCCATGGCCATTCATGAAATGGGGAATGGATATCGTCGGCCCTCTGCCAGGTAAAGCTAAGTTTATTTTATTTATGACTGACTATTTCTCTAAATGGGTTGAAGCACAGGCATTCGAAAAAATAAGGGAGAAAGAGGTTATAGACTTCATCTGGGATCATATCGTATGTCGATTTGGGATACCCACCGAAATAGTGTGTGACAATGGGAAACAATTTATCGGCAGCAAAATGACGAAATTCCTCGAAGACCACAAAATAAAAAAGATATTATCAACACTGTATCACTCTAGTGGGAACGGACAGGCCGAATCGACAAACAAGACTATCATTCAAAACCTAAAGAAAATGTTGAACGACGCTAAAGGAAAATGGAGAGAAATTCTACCCGAAATTCTTTGGGCATATCGAACAACATCAAAATCTAGTACGGGGCAACCCCGTTCTCCTTAGTATATGGCTCTGAAGCCTTGATTCCAGTCGAAGTCGGGGAACCTAGTGCCAGGTTTCGATATACAACAGAAGAGTCAAATCACGAGGCTATGAATACTTGCCTCGAATTATTGGATGAAAAACGAGAAGCTGCTCTCGTCCAATTGGCCGCCCAAAAACAGCGGATCGAAAGGTACTATAATCGAAGAACCAATCTCCGCCATTTTAAAATCGGGGACTTAGTGCTAAGGAAAGTCACCCTCAGCACCCGAAATCCAAATGAAGGAAAACTGGGTCCAAACTGGGAAGAACCATATCAGGTTCTCGAAAACGTCGGTAAAGGATCCTACAAGCTCGGTATTATAAACGGCAAACAACTACCAAGCAATTGGAACGTGTCGCACCTAAAACGATATTACTGTTAAGGTACGACCCTCTCATATTCGTTTATATTTCGAAACTAACCCTTGCAGGAGTCCGATCAGGAACAAGGATGGATCATTCAACACGAAGCCTTAGGTCTGAAAGCACGCGTTGCACTCTTTTTCCCTTAGACCAGTTTTATCCCAAATGAGTTTTTTGGCAAGGTTTTTAATGAGGCAACCATTGATCGTGCTAACTTAGAGCAATCCAACAGTATCCAAGGCCTCTTTACAATCAACCTCGAATACTGGTGGGGCATTACCCGGAAATATATCAAGTGTTCGTACGAGAAAGTTACTTCATAATAACAGGGTTCCGATAGGAAAAATTGTAAGAGCCAAATGGTCAAAACGAACCATGCTCGTTTAGGTTGCTCGATCCCTGGTACAAAACATAATCACATGTATAACGACATGAAAAGAAACTTCTTTGCCCATATCTCGTGTCTTACAACCCATCCTCTATTTCATGATCTACTACGCAAACAGGTTCAAGGACCGACCATTACCCCACAAATCGGGGATTGCCACTCGACTTTTAAGCCTACGGGCTACTCTTATTTTGAGTTCGAGAAGTCACTCACTCAATCATTAAGCCTACGGGCTACATTACTTCGAGTTCGAGCAAGCACTCACTCGAATACTAAGCCTACGGGCTACTCTTATTTTGAGTTTGAGAAATCACTCACTCAATCATTAAGCCTACGGGCTACTTTTATTTTGAGTTTGAGAAATCACTCACTCAATCATTAAGCCTACAGGCTACATTACTTCGAGTTCGATCAAGGCACTCACTCGAATACTTAGTCTACGGGCTACTCTTATTTTGAGTTCGAGAAATCACTCACTCAATCATTAAGCCTACGGGCTACATTATTTCGAGTTCGAGTAAGCACTCACTCGACTATTAAGCCTACAAGCTACTCTTATTTTGAGTTCGAGCAAGCCCTCACTCGACTAATAAGCCTATGGGCTACTCTTATTTTGAGTTCGAGAAATCACTCACTCAATCATTAAGCCTACATGCGTTTAAGTCGAAAGGGGGAAATAATAGCCGTCTTTTAGAGGCCATATGGGTCCAACCTAAAAGAGCCTAAGGGCCAATACATTTAGAGTTCGAGATGTTTTCACTCAACTCGGACCTAAGGGTTCCACTAGTCCAAGTTCGAAATAAAGTTGGCTTGAACTTAGCTCAAGGATCTGCCATAAAACCTCAAAAGGTATGTTACTGCAAGTTGAAAATTACCCATTATTTGATAAAAAACCTAAGGGTTTATTCTATCCTAAACGTACTCGAACTTAGTTATAAAAGCGGCGCATTGATCAAGCCATCCGAAATCTCGAACATGTTATTAAACTTGGGGACTCACCCTGCGTAGCTAAAAAACCTAAGGGTTTTGTTCTAAGTCCGAACTAGCGTTCACTCGATTACAGAAGCTGCAACTATAGAGTTTTCACAAAGCAAAAGCACAAAACACATTTGAGCAGAGAAGATATTCAAAAGAAGTTTCCTATTATATATCGACAGAAGAAGTTATTTACAAGGGACCGATAAGGGTCTTACAAAAAGGGAAACTAAGTTCTAACTATGGCCGGTTTCGACCTCTTCTTCGGGAACAACTTCTCCTTCAGGACCTATATCGGATCCGCCTCGATTGCCTTCTTCATCATCGTCCTCGTCATCGAAGGAGACAAGCTGCCTGGCTTCGGCCTCAAACACCTTGGCTCGGGCTATCTCCTCGGAAAGGTCAAAACCTCGTGTATGAATTTCCTCGAGGGTTTCTCTCCGGGATTGACACTTTGCCAAGTCGATAACCCATTGCTCTCGGTCAGAAGCCTCCCTTAGCTGCATCTGAGCAGCCTCAGCATCGGCCCGGTACATGGCAATGGACTTATCCGCCACGACCTCAGCAAGCCCGTTTTCGAGCAAGCCCGGTTTCGAGCTCTTCGATCCTCTTGGCTTGGGCCGAACTTTTCTCTTTGGCACCCCGAAGTTGCGATGACAATTTGGCCAAGGCAGTTTCTTTTTCTGCAGCCAGGCAGTCCATGTTACCCTTCCACCGATCACAATCGGCCTTGACCTGATCGACTTCTCCCCGAAGTAACTCGATCCTTTCAACCTTTTGCTGCAGCTGAGATAGCGAAGTATTAGCTTCCACATTTGGGTCAAGTCCATACTCTATCAAAAGAGTGCTCACCTGCTTATCTAGCTCAGCCTCTTCCTCACGAGCCTTGGCCAAATCCGCTTGGAGGTCATTTATAGCCTCGTCCTTTTGGCCGCAAAGAAGCTTTAGAGCATTCTTCTCCTCCGAGACCTTTTGGAGCTCGGTTTCAAACTGGCTGAGGTCAACTCGAAGCTTGACAAAGGCCTGCACAAAAGGGGAAAACACAAGTTAGCTTGACGAAAGACTGCACAAGTTTGGCGAAGGTCTACACAATAAATTCTTACTCGAGATAAGAGACGTTGGGCTTCTTCTAAAAGAATCGAAGCGTCACTAAGATCGGAGGCATCATCAACTCCTGTAAAGCAGTCCCGAAAGGGATCCCCTACACCGGAGCCTCTGCTTATATCGGGGGCCTTCAACTCTAGAGCTTCCCTTAGCGCCTCCTCAGAAAAGGCCGGAAGAGAAGGCGAGTGGCCTACTGTCATGACCCCGAGCAAGTCGCTCGGAATGCTCTGATCAACCTTCGGGGTCTCAGAACCGGCCCCGTCCGGTATAGCTATAGTTGTCCGAGAAACGACCTCGACCTCTGGTAACTCGAGATCCTTACCCGATTTCTTTTCAGGAGCCTCCTCGATACGAGGATTGATTTTAACAGTTGTCCTAGGTCGGACCGTCAGCGCCGAAGCATTTTCCTCTTCTTCCTCTTCTCCGTCTCTCAATTTTTGGATCGAGTCCATCGTGAGGGCGAGTATTTTTCTCCTCACCCTTCGAGGTTTGGGCTTGGGGTCCTCGGACTGCAATGCAACTTTCCTCTTCTTGTCTTCCCCCGGCTTCGGAACCGGGGACTTGTTTCCTTCCTCGCCACTTGAGGGCCTCAAAATGACATCCTTGGTGAGGCCTGCATGAAAGAAAATTAGTAACAGACGAGGTATAAAAAATGATTTAGAACATAAAAGGGAGATCCTTACCATGATTCTTGGCCTCCCACCTGCCCTTTGCCAAATCACGCCATGCGCGTTCGGCGTAGGTGGAAGTCGAGGCTAACTTCCGAACCCAATCTTCAAGGTCTGGTACCGCATGAAGCATCCAAGGAACAGATGCACATCGAAAGGTGATATTAGGCGAAATCGAAGAAGGATCACTTACGATTGAAGAACAAAATTTAAAAGGATCACTTACGATTGAAGTTCCACTCCTCATGGAACGACAACTTCTCTTCCGGGATAATATCACGGGTCCTCACTCGTACGAAACGGCCCATCTAACCCCGATCCTTGTCCTCATCGATGCTCGAGGTCAAGGCCTTTGTTGCCCGGCGTTGGAGCCTGATTAGTCCTCGATAGATTCGAGGCCGATACAACCGCATGAGGTGACTTAGAGTAAACTCTAGTCCCTCGGCCTTGCTAGAGAAGAAGCGCAACATAATCACTATGCGCCATAGAGAGGGGTGGACTTGGCCGAGGGTGACCTGATACTTTTTGCAAAAGTCAATAATCACTGGGTCGAGGGGACCCAATGTGAAGGGGTAAGTGTAAACACTTAGGAACCCCTCCACATAAGCGGTGATACCCTCTTCAGGAGCAGGAATATGCACCTCGACCTTGGGCCCCCAGTTGCAGTCCCTCTTCACAGCCTCGAGATGGCCCTCTGTTATCGAGCACATGTACATCGACACATGCTCACATCGGCCCGGGATCGATGAAGGATTTTTGACCTTGAAGTCGGATTTCAGAATACACGGGCCGGGAACATACTCGTGGGGAAGCGGCTCCGCCGGCGCCTTGCCGTCGGACGGCCGGGAAGAAGAGCTAGAAGCTTTCTCCTTCTGCGGTACAGTCTTTGAAGTTTTCGCCATTTGAATAAGTGAAGAAGAGCAAAGGAAGGTAAAAAACTGGTGGTTTTAGTACTAACGAAGATGGCTCTGCAGGCGGCGAAAAGGAGGAGACGAAAAGAATAAGAAGATTTAGAGGTTTGATTAGAGCGAAAGTAGAGTTTGATTCAAAGAAGGAACGGGTATTTATAGGTTCACGGCGACGGTTCGGTGGTGCTAGTGGCCGACCGCTAACCGACACGCATTTAATGCCTTAAAAAAAATAAACCAACAGAACAACAATCACACGCGTCATGATCAAGCCCGATGTAAATGTCAGCTTTTATCTGATCGAGCCGTTGAGAAATCATATCGTTTCTCGCCACATCCTTCCCGAGAAACGAGGGGACTATCTGTATACGGTCGAAACTGATTTCGGCTTTCGTACGTCTGATCGAGATCGAAACATAATGGATCGAAAAAAGTCTTTATAATATCGAGATGTGATCCGAAGAAGGCACGAACGAGCTTCGATTTTCGGGGACAGATCAAACACCGAGTTCGAAGTCATTATCGAGCTCGGGTCTGAATCGAACTATGATGAGATGTTATGGAATCGAGCTTAAGGGGCAAAGGCCAACCGATACCGAGCTCGAGTCATTACCAGACCCCGAGTCAGCATCGAGCTCAAGTCCGCATCGAGCTCTAAAAACAATACCGACCAGCACCGAGTCCGATCAAGCTCGAGCTCACAGACAAGAGCCATTGCAACCGCACTAAGGGAGAGAATCTCGGCGGGAATTAGGAAAAAACTTATTTATCATGGGTTCCCCACTATGTATTTTTAATTATATCTAAAGTAGAATCCTTCACTATAAAGAGGATTGCTACATTTCTGTAAAAGGACAGTTTTTTGCTTACATTGTAACTCAAACACCATACACTCCTATATTGAAGAGTTATTTTTTTTAGCTTCATAGATTGATTCATCTTGATTAGTCCTTAAAATCATCTTCTTTCCAACCCTGTTTATTTTGCATTCTTTGCAATCCGTATTTGATATTTCTATTTATCCTTACGATTTGTATTAAGTTATATCACATATCCTTAGAACTACGTAAAAATTCTAACTCCATCCGTTTTTCGGGTAAACAATGCTATTGTTAAATTCCTGACATTCTATATTCTATGGGAGAAAAAACGTGTAGTAGGTTTTCATTTAAAGAAGTTTCTTTTTGAGTATTTTATCTATATATTTGTGTGATGAATGTGCAAACATATGTCTGCTATTATAGCTGGAAGACTTGCCAACTGAGCACTTCTGCTTTGGTGGACTACTTATATAATAAAGATAATGAAGATAAAATTCTCTCTTTTTTCTGTTTCTTAAACTCTGGCCCAAAGAAAGAGAGAGAGAAAATGACACTCAGTCAGATAGTTTAATGAAGCTAAAATTCTCTCTTTCTCTGTTTCTTATTTGTGTTTGTTTAAGGTCCTTTGGGTTAGATTTTACTGTTGAATCTCCTTTTATTTTGCTTAATTGCTAAGGTATGAGACTCTTTTATTCATTACACGTCACAGTTGTCTTTCATTTGTTTCTATTTTTATTTATTTGTTTTCTGAGTGTCCTAATTGATACATACATGCACTTGTAATAGCTTTAGAAGAACTTGTAGGCAGCCTGCAGGGATCCTCAGAAACAATGGGATACTGTTTAACGAATCTACTCAAAAGGTACACATCTTATTGAATTATGTATTGACATTACTAGGATCTTTCTTCAGAATATTACTGGATTTATGGAAAATATTTTTGTCGTTTTGCTCCTTAAATACTAATGTCTGATGCACATTTGTTTTAATTAATTGCTATAGACTATAACAAAGATTTAAAAAGTGAATTAACTTATAATACAATCATGCTTCCTCATTGACAGTTTCAAGTTGTTGTATAATCATGTAAAACGACAAGGTGTTGATATTCCAATGATGGACTTTTTGAAACACTTCATGATGAATGGCTAAGGGGATCTTGCAATTCTGTAGCAAAGTTCTCGATGAGCTTGGTGTGACAAAAAGAGAGGACAAAGTTGTTTTAGATTTTTTATTGATTATTAGCAATAATAATATCCCTTCAGGTTCAGGGACATCAGATAAAATTAACGACAAAAAATAATATGTTTTGGTTATTCCAAAAAATCTGACCATTTTTTCTTGATTAATTTAGTGTTGCTTTATAACGATATAACAACCCAGTATAATCTCACCAGTGAGATCTGGGGAGGGTAGTGTATACGCAGACCTTACTCCTACCCCTGGGGTAGAGAGGCTGTTTCCGATAGACCCTCGACTCCCTTCCTCCAAGAACTCCCCACCTTGCTCTTGGAGTGACTCGAACTCACAATCTCTTGGTTGGAAGTGGAGGGTGCTCCAAAATAATTTTTTTTAAGATGAGTTTTACTTTTTATAGCTTATGTACTTGCGAGCCATGTTTCATATGTGATTTGAATACCATTACGTCCTATAGTAAATATTCTCGGCCAAAAGGAACAAAAGAAAAGAGAAGCAGAAAAAGAATAATTAACCCAAAAGTAGAATCAGACTATCTTAAAATTCTATCATCACTTTGAAACCCACTCCTTTAGATGCATGATTCAGATTCTATTGGAACACACGGGTGCTTTTTGTGGTTTTAGGGGTATTTATGACTGATATCCCACCGTGAGTTTTGATTTTTTAAAACTGAATATTGCCATATTTGACTTGGAGCATTTGTTTTGAAGGTAAGGTTATGATGCTCACTAATCTAATCTTTGCTTCTATGCTTGATTATTTCTTTTTCATGCAAAAAAATATGATCTGTTGAGGAGATATACATAACTTAAGGTTTAAAACCTATGTTTGATATATTTATCAGCGTATAACAGAAACGCCTAACTTTGTTGGGATGGAGAAAGAATAAGCGCATTTCCAACTTTCCTGAATGAGGTTGTGATTGCACAGCTGCTCAATTGGGTTTCATGGCTTTTGTTGGAGAAGAGGCAAATATCACTCAAGATTAAATTCATGCAGTGGGAGAGTATATGGTGACTCTATCCTACTGTCATTGTTCTTGTTGCTCTAAGTTTACAGTTTTTGCCTTTGTAGGAGCGATGTTAGTGTTGCAAGCTACACTGAAAACTGGTGTTTCGCATAGGTAAAAAATTACATGTATGCTGAAGCTGCAAAAGACATTTGTGATTTGATTCAATATGAACATAAAGTAGACTTTCAAATTGTACAGCAGAAGTTAATCTATAAGTGAAATTTATTCTCCTTACGAAAGTACTTGAGTCTCCACATGTTAAGAGTTGATCAATTTTCAATCAGTCTTCGACTCAACTTTTGGACTATTTTGGTGTTGAGTCCGTGCTTAGCACGGGCATTTCTTTTCTAGTTATAACATAAATGGACATTCTGACACCTCATGTTTTGATTTTACTTTTTCTAGTGTAAAAAGAAATTGCCTTAATTTAAATAATTTTGTTTTTATCATTGAATGAACATATCAAACAAAGGCGAGCACTAGAAGGCCGGAGGCCTGGAGAATAATTGTATTGATGACTTTGCTTCGATCTCTTCGACTGAACCTAAAGGAGACTTTGATCATTCAACTTTAGCTTCTAAATCAAAAAATGAATTTTTGTTTAAGAATAAAATCTTATTGGAACTGTCCTGGTTCATCCTTCGTTATTTTAGTTGTTCTAGAACCACCTTCGTTATTTTAGTTGTTCTAGAACCAACTCATATATACGTTTCGAAATAGTACTTCTAAAACTCTCCCAACTTTATAAGCAAAAAAAATTAGTTACACTATGACTCATATGGCACTGAAATTGGACAGGTTCACGTTTAGGCCTGTTTATAGAAACTCTTTAAGTATAGGCTATTTTTTCTTTTCCATAGGAAACTCCAACTTAAACATGAACTGGCCTGGAACTATATGTAATGTCACTCTCATCCATTGGCTACAACTGGATTGGCTTTGGTTCTCTCAAGCGTCCTAGTATACTCTACTTGTTCACTGAACTATATGTAAGGTCACTCTCATCCATTGGCTACAACTGGATTGGCTTTGGTTCTCTCAAGCGTCCTAGTATACTCTACTTGTTCACTTGTGTCGATTTGGAGTACGGTCAGTTCACCGGCATGTACTTATTACTCCTTGCCACTCAACTTCTTCAACTTCTATATATCCTATATATAAAAAAAAATTAAAAATAAAATAAAAACAAAGAACTATTAATTAATAAAAACTATTTTCTGTTTTCCCTTAAGCTTGTCTTTCTATCTTTAAAATGAATTAAAATCTTATGTAATTTACTTGTATTTTTTTATTTATATTTTACGTTAGTGAACATATGTCAGATTTACTCGATCAAACGGTAAATTTGATATCTTTGGACCGTCGAACTTTGGTGTATACCTAGACAGCCATACGTCACAACCTTTAACCGTCTTTGGTTCTCACTGTTGTGTTCGTTTCAGCCATGAACACCGTATGGTTTCATAAGTGCGTAGAGAAGTGGCCTTACAACATTCTTCTTGAAGTGGCTTATACTTCACACTTACATAGGTGATTCCTAAACGTATTATCCCGTAGATACACTATTTGATATACCCCGTATCAAACTTAGAAACCATTAAAAAGCCTTAAAGTATTATCCTTTGTACTGAACATTGTCTTCATCATGAGAATGAACCAAAATTTTATTTGACAATGTTGAATCGTTACTAATGACTTTGTTTGATCTCCTTGAACCTAGATCTTGGGATCTCTAGTCTTCTAGGTAGAGTTACCGCCACAGTGACTTGTCCTCGGCCATAGTCCCATTCCCTTTGATGACTTCTCAACCGCCTCTCTAGGTAGGCCTTTTGTAAGCGGATCCGATACATTATCTTTTGACTTTACATAGTCAATTATGATAATTCCAGTAGAGAGAAGTTGTCTAATGGTATTATGCCTTCGTCGTATGTGACGTGATTTTCCGTTATACATAGCGCTCCCAGCCCTTCCTATTGTCGCTTGACTGTCACAATGTATGCATATAGGTGCCATGGGTTTGGGCCAAAGTGGAAGATCTTCTAAGAAATTCCGGAGCCATTCAGCTTCTTCACCGGCCTTGTCTAAAGCTATAAACTCAAACTCCATTGTAGAGCGGGCGATGCATGTCTGTTTGGGCGACTTTCAAGACACTGCTCCTCCACCAATGGTAAAAATATATCCACTTGTGGATTTTGATTCCGTTGATCCGGTGATCCAATTTGCATCACTATATCCCTTAATAACAGCGGGATAATTATTGTAATGTAATGCATAGTCTTGGGTATATTTCAAATATCCCAAAACTCGTTTCATTGCTATCTAATGAGCTTGGTCGGGATTACTTGTGTATCGACTAATCTTACTTATCGCACAAGCTATATCAAGTCGTGTACAATTCATAATGTATATCAAACTTCCTAACACTCGAGCATATTCCAATTGAGACTTGCTTTGACCTTTATTCTTTACAAGAGTATGGTTTAAATCAATTGGCGTTCTTGCAACTTTAAAGTCCAAATATTTGAAATTTTCAAGTACCATTTTAATATAATGAGATTGAGACAAAGCTAGACCTTGAGGAGTCTTAAGGATCTTAATTTTCAAAATTAAATCGGCAACTCCTAAGTCTTTCATATCAAATTTACTAGTAAGCATGCGCTTAGTAGCATTTATATTAGCAATGTTGTTACTCATTATCAACATATCATCCACATATAAACAAACAATGACTATTTGATTTGGAGTATTCTTAATGTAAACACATTTGTCACACTCATTGATCTTGAAACCATTTGACAACATTGTTTGGTCAAATTTCACATGCCATTTTTTGGGTGCTTGTTTTAGTCCATAAAGTGACTTAACAAGCCGACACACCTTATTTTCTTTTTCGGGAACTACAAACCCTTCAAGTTGTTCCATATAAATTTCTTCCTCCAAATCTCCATTTAAGAAGGTTGTCTTCACATCTATCTGATGGATTTGAAGGCCATACACGACGGCTAACGCTATTAACACCCGAATAGATGTAATCCTTGTTACCGACGAGTATGTGTCAAAGTAATCAAGACTTTCTTGTTGTCTAAACTCTTTAACAACTAATCTTGCCTTATATTTGTCAATAGTACCATCAACTTTCATTTTTCTTTTGAAAATTCACTTAGAACCCAAAGGTTTATTTCCTAGAGGAAGATCAACCAATTTCCAAGTATGATTATTTAATATGGATTCTATCTCACTATTGACTGTCTTTTTCCAATATTGTACTTCCGAAGAAGACATTGCTTCTTTGAACGTTTGAGGCTCATTTTCCAACAAAAATGCCGAAAATCTGGTTCAAAGGAAGTAGTTGTCCTTTGACGTTTACTACGTCTTGGATTTCCTCATTAAAAGTACTTTCCTTTGTTTCTTTCCGAGATCGCTTAGAGTTTTTACTAGACGACTCACATTCCATTTTATACGGATAAATATTCTCCAAGAATTCAGCGTTATCTGATTTAATTACCGTATTAATATGAATGTCGAAATTTTCTGATTTATGAACCAGAAAATGATATGCCTTACTATTTGTTGCATATCCTATGAAAATACAATCAATGATTTTTGGTCCAATCTTTACCCTTTTGGGTTTAGGGACTTGCACTTTAGCCAAATACCCCCACACTTTAAAATATTTTAAGTTGGGTTTCCTTCCTTTCCATTTTCCGTATGGAATAGATTGCATTTTTCTATGGGGAACTCGATTGAGTATTCGGTTAGTTGTAAGAATAGCTTCCCCCCACAAGTTCTGAGGTAAACCAAAACTTATTAACAAGTCATTCATCTCCTTTAATGTTCTATTCTTTCTTTACGCAATTCTATTAGATTGCGGTGAGTAAGGGGCAGTTGTTTGGTGAATAATGCCATATTCCAAACATATTTCTTCAAAAGGAGATTCATATTCGCTGCCCTTATCATTTCTTATCATTTTGATCTTTTTGTTTAGTTGCATTTCAACTTCATTTTTATATTGCTTGAATGCACCAATTGCTTCATCTTTACTATTAAGTAAGTAAATATAGCAATATTTAGTACTGTCGTCAATAAAAATTATGAAATACTTTTTTCCACCGCGAGATGGTATTGACTTCATGTCGCAAATATCTGTGTGAATTAAGTCTAAAGGATTTGAATTCCTTTCAACTGACTTATAAGGATGTTTAACATACGTTGATTCCACACATATTTGACATTTCGAGTTATTGCATTCAAACTTAGGCAATACATCCAAATTAATCATTTTTCGTAAAGTTTTGAAGTTGTGTGACCTAAACGTTCATTCCATAAATTATTAGACTCAAGCAAGTAAGAAGAAGCTGAAATTTTATTCATATCAATGGCAATTACATTGAGTTTGAAAAGGCCCTCACTAAGGTAATCTTTTCCTACATACATTTCATTCTTACTAACTACAACCTTGTCGGAAACAAAAATATAATTAAAGCCGTTCTTGACTAGAAGTGATGTCGACGCTAAATTCTTCCGCATTTCAGGAACATGAAGGACATCGTTTAGAGTCACAATCTTGCCAAAAGTCATCTTCAAAGCTATCTTGCCCGTTCCTTCAATTTTTGCAGTAGCGGAGTTTGCCGTAAAAAATATCTCGTCGGGTCCAGCGGGAGCATAAGAAGTAAACAACTCCTTGTTAGCACAAACATGACGAGTTGCCCCCGAATCAATCCACCATTCTCTAGGATTTCCGACTAGGCTGCATTCAGAAAGTATGGCATATAAATCGTCTATTTCATCATTCTTCTCAATCATGTTTCCTTGGCTATTCTTCTTGTCCTTCTTTGGTGCACGACATTCAGTAGCCTTGTGTCCAACCTTACCATAGTTGTGGCAATTACCTTTGAACTTCATTTTGCTTGGGTAATTCTTTGGTCCAGACGACTTCTTTCTCTTTTTGCTTGTTGAAGCTTCCTCAACAATATTTGCACCCATTATTGTTAAATTTTCACGAGACTTCTTTTCTGCAGCCTTGTTGTTCTCTTCAATCCTTAGGCGAACAATAAGGTATTCTAACGTCATCTCCTTGTGCTTATGTTTCAAGTAGTTTTTAAAGTCTTTCCATATTGGAGGCAACTTTTCAATAAATGCCTCAACTTGAAACGCTTTATTTATGACCATACCTACAATCATAAATTTAAATTAATAATATAATCAATATCTTTAATAAAAAAATTGATTCGATTTATACCTTCGGCAAGGAGGTCATGAACATCACTTGCAGTTCTTGAACTTGAGTTATGACAGACTTACTGTCAACCATTTTAAAGTCCAAGAATTTTGCGGCAACAAACTTCTTAAGTCCAGCATCTTTCGTCTTGTACTTCTTTTCAAGAGCGTTTCACAACTCTTTCGAGTTTCCATGACACTGTAAACGTTGTACAAGTCATTTTTCAAACAATTCAATATATAATTTTTGCACAATAAGTCAGAATGTTTCCATCCCTCTGTGACCACAAATCTCTCATTAGCCGGAGTCTCTTCTCCCAAGACTAGAACGTCCTCGCTGATAAAGCGCTGCAGACTGAGTGTGGTCAGGTAGAAGAATATTTTCTGCTAGCAGCGTTGAAGTCCACGCCGGAAAAAATTTCGGGCTTTTCTGTCGGTGCCATCGCCGGTGCGGGCATTGTGCGACTTGAAGACGCCGTAGCAATTGCATCAGTAGTCATTCTAACAAAACCATTTTGTTGTTCCGTACTTGTTGTCATTTTTGTGGAAAAAAATTGACACAATTAGAATTAGTATCTTGGTGAAGTTTTTATATCTTCAAACCGAATACAAACAACCGAGTAGAAAATTACAAGGATTTTAATCTCGGATTGAGTAGAAAGTCACAAAGACTTTAATCTCAAACTGGAGTAGAAAATTCGAAGATTTTAATCTCCAAAACGTGAGTAGAAAATCATTATGATTTTAGTCTCCCAAATCAGAAAATAAGATGTACACAGAAATAAATATTAAATTCCTTAAGCTTGTTAATATTCTACATTCAAAACCAGAAAAAACAGAAAACGTTAGTTTAAGAAAACAAAACAGAAAATTTCGAGCCCACAAGTTTCTTGTGTATCCTTAAGGAATTTAATCCTCTCACAGTTGCCCAAGGTTTCGGATTAATTCCTCACATGATAGAACAGAATAACTATTCTGTGATAGTGGCACTTCAAATTATAGAACTTCGGCGAACTCAAATGGCGGAGCAAATCACACAAAACAATGCTTACGTTTTTGCTTTGAAAACAATGCAGAATGCAGAAAATAGAGGGGATAGATTTTCAGATTTCGGTAGTGAAAATTAGGCTAAGCCTCTCTATTTATAGCCAATAGAGTTGAGTCCCAGCAGGTGCAAAGGTGCCTGTTCGTTTGAAGAGGTATCTATTCGATATAATTTCTGTTAAACAGAATGGCTGATCGCGAATTTGACCGTTGGAAATAATGCCGTGAATTTAATATTTTTCCGCACAAAAATATTAGGAAAGGAAGTATTAAATGACGAAAATGGAAAATAAATTTGGTCCAAAAAATTATCAATCAATCAAAGCAGAAGCCGAGCGACGACGACGCGAGGCTTGCTCTCTTCTCAACTCTTTAAAAGCTAGAATAAGTGCTTCTATATATAAGCACAAGAATTTTCCTCTTCCTATCCAATGAGGGACAAAGTTCTTTTGTAAAAGAGACTAATTCAAAATTTTATTTTCTTCCATTTCTTTTCCCACCATTTTTCATTCACACCTCCTTTTATTTTTTTTAATTAAAATGCCCAACAATAGCTAAGCTCTCACTATACTGAAAATTGGAAGCTTATAAATTGAAAGAGTTTAACGATGGAAAGAAAGTCATGATTTACTCGTTGTTTGTGTAGATTTCTCTAATAATGTCAAAACATTTCACATAAGTTTTATTAAAAGCAACCAAGTAACTATTTTTAGCTATTAGGTAACGTGGTAATGTGAAAATTAGAGATGATATATAATTAACTTGGTTCAATGGATTTGCTCAACAAGAATAGTGGAAAGCTTTGTAAACTAAGAAGGTTAAAGATATCTGTATACGGTAGAAATTGTTTTTTCGTACGATATCGAGACGGGCTCCGAAGATGGTACGAACGAGCTTCAAATTTCAGGTATAGGTCAAATATCGAGTTCGAAGTCATTATCAAGCTCGGGTCTAAGTCGAACTATGATGAGATGTTATGGACTCGAGCTTAAGGGGCAGAGGTCAACCGATACCGAGCCCAAATCATCACCTGATCTCGAGTCGGCATCGAGCTCAAGACCGCATCGAGCTCTAAAAATAATACCGACCGGCACCGAGGCCGATCGAGCTCGAGCTCACAGACAAGAGTCGTTGTAAATGCACTAAGGGAGAGAATCTCAACAGGAATTAAGGAAAAACTTATTTATCATGGGTTCCCCACTATGTATTTTTAATTATATCTAAAGTAGAATCTTTCACTATAAAGAGCATGGCTACATTTCTGTAAAGGGACAGTTTTTATGCTCGCATTGTAATTAAGACACCATACACTCCTATATTGAAGAATTAGTCCTTTAAGCTTCATACATTGATTCATCTTGCTTGGTCCTAAAAATCATCTTCTTTCCAACTTTGTTTATTTTACATTATTTGCAATCCGTATTTAATATTTTCATTTATCCTAACGATTTGTATTAAGCTATACCACATATCCTTAGAACTACGTACAAATTCAACTCTATCCATTTTTCGGGTAAACAGTTTGGCGCCCACCATGGGGCTAAGGATAATAGTGGTTATTTGATATGAATCTGCAAACATACGCCATTTTACGCCTGTTTTTTGAAAGTGTCTTTGACTTCGGATTAGCAATGGCAACCCCTCAATTAATGGCTTTACCTATCGAAAACGAAGTCGGCCTTCAAGACGAAACCAACAACTTGACGTCCAGGGCCGGAAGGCCGCTTATCAATGCCATGGAAGCTCGAGTCGGAGCACCTGAAGCTCGGGTCGAAGTACCACTAGACGTTAATTCACATGTGGCCCTTGAGGCGAATCAACGTTCTGAACCTGAAAATAACATTCATGGCGGTACTCGATCTGCGGCTCGAGACACCCATAACATTGAGGAAAAAGGAGTCAACTTGCATATGATTTTTGAAATACTGAAAGCCCAACAGGTAGTGATAGCTCAGTTGTAGAGCCAAACTCAGACTCCAAGCAGGCCAGAGCCCAATCCACCTCGAGAAATTGCCCACAAAACGGAGCCAGCTGTAGTAAGGTCAAACGAGCAAGAATCGGGGACTATTCCTGAAATTGCTAAGATACTCGAGGAGCTCACAAAGCGGATCGAAGCAAACGTTAAAAAAGTAGAAATATATAACTCCAGGGTCGATCATATCCCGGGGACACCACCAATGATAAAAGGGTTGGATTCCAAAACATTTGTGCAAAAGCCTTTTCCCTCGAGTGCAACCCCAAAGCCAATTTCGAAAAAATTCCGTATGCCCGAGATTCTCAAATATAATGGAACTACCCAACCCAATGAACATGTCACCTTTTACACATGTGCCATCAAAGGTAGCGATTTAGAATATGACAAAATTGAATCTGTGTTGTTAAAAAAATTCGGAGAGACCTTGTCGAAGGGAGCAATGATTTGGTATCACAATCTGCCATCGAATTCCATCGACTCATTTGCCATGCTGGCAGATTCTTTCGTAAAGGCACACGTCGGTGCCATAAAAGTCGCAACAAGGAAATCAGACCTTTTAAAAGTAAAACAAAGGGATAATGAAATGCTAAGGGAATTCGTGTCCCGATTTCAAATGGAACGCATGGAGTTGCCATCGTTCATAGACGATTGGGCCGTTCAAGCTTTCACCCAAGGGTTAAACGAGCAAAGTTCGATAGCATCACGTCGGCTGAAACAAAATTTTGTCGAATATCCAGCTGTAACTTGGGCGGATGTGCACAATCGGTATCAGTAAACAATCAGGGTCGAGGACAACCAATTAGGAGCTCCTTCCGGATCAGTACATCCAAACAGGTCGGTTATTAAAAACCAGAGGGACATCGACAGAGAGACAAGGTCGAACAGAGACCAATATCAACCATACACCACAAATCAAAGGAATAATGATTCGGGACGCTATTCCGCCCTGAACAATCGAAGGAGTGATCAAGGACAGAATTCTCGGGGACTTATGAGCAAAAGCGATTTCGACAAATATGCCGATCCTATAGAGGCACCTCGATTGTCGGAATATAACTTTAGTATAGATGCATCGGGCATTGTATCGACAATCGGAAGGATCAAGGATACCAGGCCCGGACCAATGCAAACCAATCCCTCCCAAAGAAACCCGAATTCGATGTGCAAATATCATGGAACACATGTCCACAAGATCGAGGATTGCCGACAGTTAAGGGAGGAGGTAGCTCGTCTGTTCAATGAAGGCCACATTCGAGAGTTCCTCAGCAATCGAGCCAAGAACCATTTCAGAGAGAGAGACGCCAACAGAAAAAACGAACAGGAGGAGCCTCAACATATCATTCATATTATCATCGGTGGGGTCGACACTCCACAGGAACCCATACTCAAAGGCTTAAAGATACCGTTCACTAGAGAAAAATGAACTCGAGATTACGTGACTGAATACACTTTATCATTCAACAACAAAGAGGCCGAAGGCATCTCTCAGCCCCACAACGACGCTCTAGTAATTTCTATCTTATTAGATAAAGTTCAAGTTAAGCGTGTTTTAGTGGATCCAGGTAGCTCTGCGAATATCATCCGATCGAGGGTCGTGGAGCAACTCGGTCTGCAAAATAAAGTTGTGCCCGCAGCTCAGGTCTTAAACGGCTTCAACAAGGCCAGTGAAAAAACTAAATGGGAGATTATTCTAACGATAAACGTGGCCAGGACCATCCAAAATACCAAGTTCCACGTAATCAAGGGTGACATGAGGTACAATGCTCTACTCGGAAGGCCTTGGATGCACAATATGAGGGCAGTACCTTCGACTCTCTACCAAGTAATAAAATTC